TCGGGAGACTATCAATAAAGTATTATAAAATATAAATGATTTATTATCGTTTTCTAAATAGTCCCATATGTGAACTAAACAAGTATAATTAATAAATATTTACATCAATTTAGAATGAGTCTCGGCCCATTATCATACTTGGCCTAATCTCAATATAAATACAAACCCTAAACATCCAATTAAAAAAGTAATAATTGTAAAAATTATTTTTCCTTAACTTTAAAATTACTTCATTTCAACCTTAATTTAATCAATTGTTATTAAAATTATGCAAATTGATAATTAAGTAAATAATACACATGCMAAGTAAAWAAAATTAAATAGAAAATCGGACTACTTATACCTGGTTGATTTTATAAAGATTTTTAAACTCTTTAACCATTTCTTGATACTGCAAGTTTTTCAATTTTTCTTCATCAAAAGTTTTCAGACTATGAAAATTAGTAACATCTACAAAATCTCGAACAAGTTGAAATTCATCGTTTGGACTTTCAACTAATAATAAAAGGCAAATTAAGAGATATTTAAATATATACCATAAAAAATATTACATGAAATTATTTAAAAATATAATATAAATTAATACCTGTAATATCAATAACATCTGATTTAGTGGCATAGTGTTTGTAAATAGAATTCAGAAGTTTAGCACACAATCCTTTCCTTTGAAATGGTGGTAGAATTAACATTTGACTAATTCTTGGACGGATTTTATCTGGGTAAGCATAATATTCATAGATTGTTGAATATCCTACTGGTGTGTAACACAAATCACCATTTTCATTTTTGAAGACTTCATACCTAAAATTAAATTTTGATTGTTAAAATTTGACCATTAATTTTATTCACATAGATAAGTGTTATATATATTTAATTGTTATRTCTTATGTATCACTGATTATTAGTTAAACTATTCRCAGTTATTTATTATTAGTTTTAAAAACTACTTAAAATGTTATATGGATTTTAATATAATTTCATCATTATTTTAAKAAGGTCCATTTACAATTAAGACGTATTAGGGGAGCATAAAACACAAAAAGTAAATTATTTAAATTGAAAGAATGTTAAATTTTAAGAATATTGATTTAAGTTAAATGTTACTACTTACATTATTCCAAGAGTTTTAAAGAATTGAAAATAGATATGGGGACAGGCTCATATTATCATACTATCTTATACATATAAATGTTACTCATATCAAACAATAATTTACCTATATTTAAAGTATATTCTTCAATTTTTGTTTTATGCATGTATAATATGTGTTTTTAAGTACTGAAAACTTTAAAGGAATCTTAATTTTTTTAAAGTGTCTGAAATATTTAAAATGTGTATCAAAATATAAACGACTTACTGTGTGTTGCAACTATAATATATAGGTAATGAAAATATTTCTTAAGTATTTTAAATACTATAAAAACCAAACATTATATTGAAATTCTGAAACGTTTATAGTTTTAAGTACAAAAATATTA